TCGGGCTTGCAACACTTCTGTTCCCGAATGTGCTGGCCTGTCTTTCACCCCGAGACCTCTGCACCTGCATTCTGTCTGGAAAACCCCCAGCCATCGGCACGCGTCCTTGGTCACCACCTCCTCCGTCTTCAGATCTTAGCTGAGACACCTCATTCTCCATGAAGCCCTCCTGGCCCAGCCCAGGGGAGGATGGAGGTGGCCCTCCTCCTGCGGTGCCTGTGGCACCTTTTCTTCCCTCTGCCCACGGGTCACAGCGGCCTGTTTCCTCCTCTGACTTCTCCGTGTGGCTGATGCTCTGCGCATGCAGGGGCCAGACGCCCTCGTCCTTTGGTGTGTCCTGCGTGCCTAGCCCAGCGCCAAGGCCACAGGACTCAGCAAACACCTGCCAGGTGACTGACACTGGAGGGACATGTGGTTCGCCATCCCCCGCCCCTGAGACCCCCAGGCAGCTTGGGTGCATCGTGTGAGACCCCTGTGCAGAAGGACATGGCGAGGATTCCAGGAGAACAGGGCCTGGCCTGGCCTCAGCCTCTCAGAGTCAGGTCTGGGGGTCCCAAAGACAATCCCCTCCCTGGCCTTCTTGAGAGATTTTCGGCTCCCCTGAGCAGTGGGAGGCCACTGGGCCAGCTGGAGGGGGGCTTGTGACATAAGCCCCAGGTGGGCTGCCTTTCACGGCACCCCCCGCTCCCTGGCACCCGCCCAGGCGCAGGCGCTGGGGTGTGGACACACACTCACACGCTGAGTTCAGTGTGCGGATTCCTGTAACGCTGGGTTGCTGGCAGGAAGTGCGCGCCGGGGAGGCTGCTGCTGGGAACCCGGGGCTGGCCCCGCTGAGATAAAGGGAGGCAGCAGATCGCAGCTGGAGATAGCAGCCCTGGGTCCTGGTAAACAGGTGGCGGGGGGGTGGGGGGGAATGTCCTTTCCATCCCACCCTTTTGGCCCTGAGCCTGCAGGATCTATAGGGCCCTAGCCTAGGCCCAGCCCCGATAGCTTGATATTCAGAGGGGAGCTGTTGGCACTGCCATCATCATTCCCAGTCTGGGGGACTGGGTGGCAAAGGACTGGGCACTGGGCCTGGGGGCCTGGCCGGGCCCACGGTGGGCATGCACTTGGCCCACGTGGGGGCCACTGGGTGTCAAGGTCATGTGTGCTGTTGGGAGGGTGAGAAGGGAGGGAGCTCCTCCAAGCCCCTGCACTTCCCCAACTGGGATCCCCCAGTGGGAAAGATGTGCCTCTCCAGGTTCGCCTTCAGCACCATCTCCGGAAATCCAGAGTGAGGTGCCTTGAGGGTGCGAGACCAGAAGAGAATGGAGGGTGGAGTGAGGGCTGTTCCCCAGCCAGGTGCAGAGCAAGGGGGGCTACAGAGCTGGGGAGACCCTGTGCGTGACCCCAATGGGCAGCCACAGGATGTTCACCCGCACTCCATCAGCTCATTGTAGGCTGGGCGGGAGCTGGGCATGGCCTATCCCCAGTGCCCAACACAGTGGGTGTTCAAATACACTTGCTTGTTTAAAAACTTAAGAAATTTGGCCGGGCGTGGTGGCTCGGCTCACACTTGTAATCCCAGCACTTTGGGAGGCTGAGGCGGGTGGATCATGAGATCAGGAGATCGAGACCATCCTGGCCAGCACGGTGAAACCCCATCTGTACTAAAAATACAAAAAATTAGCCGGGCGCGGTGACAGGCGCCTGTAGTCCCAGCTACTCCGGAGGCTGAGGCAGGAGAATGGTGTGAACCCGGGAGGCGGAGCTTGCAGTGAGCCGAGATAGTGCCACTGCACTCCAGCTTGGGCGAAAGGGTGAGACTCCGTCTCAAAAAAAAAAAAAAAATTAAGAAATTTACCACTCATACAGAAATGTGCATGAAGCATGTTTGTAGTGTTACAAATAAATACATATAAAATAAACTCCCATGCCGTAGCGACTCAGATCAAGAAATAGTCCATGGCTGAGTGTGGTGGCTCATGCCTGTAATCCCAGCACTTTGGGAGGCCAAAGCGGGTGGATCACCTGAGGTCAGGAGTTCGAGACCAGCCTGGCCAACATGGTGAAACCCCATCCCTACCAAAAATACAAAAAATTACCCAGGCATGGTGGTGGGCGCTTGGAATCTCAGCTATTCAGGAGGCTAAGGCAGGAGAATCACTTGAACTTAGGAGGCAGAGGTTGCAGTGAGTCAAGATCGTGCCATTGCACTCCACCTGGGTGACAAAGCAAGACTCCGTCTCACACACACACACACAAAAGAAATAGACCATGGCCAGGATTCCAGAAGTTTCCTTCCTATGTACATCCCCTCCCTCTGCAGAAGTTACTGCTGCCCTGACATTTTTCTTTCTTTTCTTTCTCTCTCTCTCTCTCTCTGTCTCCTCTCCCTCTCTCTCTCCATATGTGTATATATTTTTTGTTGTTTGTTTGTTTGTTTCTTTAGAGACGGAGTCTAGCTATGTTGCCCAGGCTGCTTTTGAACTCCTGGACTTCCGCGATCCTCCCAAACCTCTGGGATTACAGGCGTGAGCCACCAGGCCTGGCCTGGCTTGACTTTCATGACCAGGACTTGCTTTTCTTTATGATTTTGCCACCATGGATGTATCCCTTAATAGCAGTTGAGTGTTGAGTGTGGCCTGTGCGTGAACTTTACAGAAGTCGAATCAGGGTGTCTCCTTTTATGTCTGGCTTCGTCAGGCCGGTATTGTGTTTGCCAGAGTCACCTGTGCTGTGGCTGTCGCTTATTCTCTGCCGCCAGGTGCTTTTCCACTGGGTCCCTAGAGCATAGTTTATTTCTCCATTCTACCCGTTTAGGGACATTTGGGGTTTTGTTTCCAGACTGGCCATGTACGGTGGCGCTGGTGGGCGTTCTGATTTCTGTCTGCTGGGGTCCAGGAGCCTGCTTTGGGAGGGCAGGCGCCTCGTGGAGGGGCTGCTGATTCTGGGGTCCCTCATCTGCAGCTTTACGAGGTGGGCCAAATCCTTTCCCAAAGTGCTGGGAATGCTCTTCTCCCCCACTTTCCCACACTTGTCCATCTCAGTGACGCTAGTGTTATCAGACTGCTTCATCTTAGCCGTTCTTGTGGTATGTGATGATATCGCGGGCAGTTTAAGCCTGAATCTTTTTTTTTTTTTTTGATGGAATCTCACTCTGTCACCCAGGCTGGAGTGCAGTGACCCGATCTCAGCTCACTGCAACCTCTGTCTCCTGGGTTCAAGTGGTTCTCCTGCCTCAGCCTCCCGGTAGCAGGGATTACAGGTGCCCACCACCACACCCAGCTAATTTTTGTATTTTAGTAGAGATGGGGGATTCACCATGTTGCCAGGCTGGTCTTGAACTCTTGACCTCAGGTGGATCTGCCTGCCTCAGCCTCCAAGTGGAGGGGGGTTACAGGCCATGAGCCACGTTCCCCGCCTTTTTTTTTTTTCTTTTTTTTCTTTTTTTAAAGAACTAGGTCTTGCTCTGTCACCCAGGCTGCAGTGCAGTGGTACAATCATAGCTCATTGCAGGCTGAACTCCTGGGCTCAAGCAATCCACCCGCCTCAGCCTCCCAAGGTGCTGGGATTATAGGCATGAGCCCACCGAACCGGCCCTGCTCTTTCTGATAACTGCTAAAGGGAGGCACCCTTGTCTTAGTGTTTAGCCGGTTGAATTCCTCTTTGGAAAGCCTGTTGTGGTCTTTCTCATGACTGGTCAGGCGGTTGTATGGCAAGCATACTGATCCTGTGGGTTCTGTGTGTTGCAAAGCGTTTCACCCAGGGCTGGTGCGTGGATCATCCTTCATCCCAGACTTTGAGAGGGCCAAGGTGCGATCACGAGATCAGGAGTTCACAGCCTAGTCTGGGCCAAATAGTGTAACCCATACCTACACAAATACAAAAGGACTATTGGGGTGTGGTGGGTGGGGCTGTAATCCCACTACCGGAAGAACTGAGGCAGGAGCAATCGCTGAAACCCAGGGGCAGCCGTTGCGTGAGCCGGATTGGCGACGCATTGCAGCTCCAGCGCCAGAAACAATTGAGACTCCATCTCAAACAAAAAAGAAAAAAAATTTTCCCCCCCAGTCCAGCCGCGGTGGCTCTCGGCCTATAATTCCTAGCACCTTGGAGGCCAAGGGCAGGGGGATCCACTGGATGTCAGGAGTTTCGAGGACCCCGAGCCTGCCAACATGCGAAATGGGCGGAAACCCGCCTCTGTTAGCTCACAATACAGAAATTAGCCAGGTTGGTGGCACATGCCTGTAATCCCAGCTACTGGGGAGGCTGAGGCAGGAGAATCGCTTGAACCCAGGAGGGGGAGGCTGCAGTGAGCTGAGATCCAGCTACTGCACTCCAGCCTGGGTGACAGAGCAAGACTCTGTCTGAAGAAAAAAAAAAAATTTCCCCCGTGCTGTGGTTTGTCTTTTTTTGTTGTTGTTGTTTGAGACAGGGTCTGACTCTCTTGCTCAGGTTGGAGTGCAGTGGTATGATCATAGCTCACTATAGCCTCAACCTCCTGGGCTCAAGCAGTCCTCTGGTCTCAGCTTCCAGTGTAGCAGGGACATACCACCATGCCTGGCTAATTTATTTTATTTGCAGACATGAGGTCTTGCTATGTTGCCCAAGCTGGTCTCAAACTCTTGTCCTAAAGCAGTCCTCCCGTCTCGGCCTCCCAAAGTGCTGGGATTACAGGCTTGAGTCACCGCGCCCGGCCTCTTTTTTTTTTTTGAGATGGAGTCATGCTCTGTCTCCCAGGCTGGAGTGCAGTGGTGCAATCTCGTCTCTCCGAAACCTCCACCTCCTAGGTTCAAGCGATTCTCTGCCTCAGCCTCCCCAGTAGCTGAGATTACGGGCACCGGCCACCATACACAGCTAATTTTTGTATTTAATAGAGAGGGGCTTTCACCATGTTGGCTGGGCTGGTCTTGAACTCCTGATCTCAGGTGATCCACCCGCCTTGGCCTCCCAAGGTGCTGGGATTACAGGCATGAGCCACTGCACCCGGCCCTGCTTCTGTCTTTAGATACAGTTGCAAGCTGTGGTGTGTGTGGACAGGGGAATGGGGACTTGGGGATTAGGCTGGGGGAACCCTCGGGAACCGCTCTACTGCCTTCCAGGTGTCCCCAGCTCGGGCTGAGACCAGGGCACCCCCTTGGCCTTCTGCCCCCACCTGCTCCCTCCCGGGCCCACCAGCCTGCGGCCACAAGGGCTGCTGACAGCTGGGGCGCGTGCTGGGGTCTGGCGTTATTTACTGCGACAGCTTCCTCCTCCTTCCGGGAACTTGTCCTCTAACTTGGGGCGGCAGCGAGGCCTCTAATCTTTCGGATCTCGTTTACCGGCATTGGCCTCTCACTTCCTGTTACTAGGCCTGGACCGAGGCACGGGGTCAGCTCCGTGCACTGCGCCTTGCCTGTTCCCGGGGCCTCTGTTCTGCCCCCTCGGCAGGGAGGACACAGGGTCAGATGCCGGGCCTCAGGCACGGTGGCCATCTGGGGGTAGGGCCAGCTCCACAGGGGCAGGGGACCCAAGGCTGAGCCGGCTGCAGGCGCTGCTCCCTGGACTCCAGGGTCCAGCATGGGGACCACGTGACTCCTTCGCCCCTCCTGGCTTGGCAGAGCGTCACGGAGGGCAGCCTTCCCCAGACCCCCCACATCCCCTCCTCCCACTCCTGCAGCCACCAGGGCCAGGGCTCTTGTGGGGAACGACAGGGAAGGCGAGTTTGGGCATGGACAAGATCCCTGGAGACTGTGGGGTCTGCTGCCCTGGAGATGTGGAATCCCTGGGCTTGCCCACTTCCTCCACCCTGGGTGGGTTCCCCAACTACCCAGAGGAGTACTGGCATCTCGGAGCCCCCAGGGCATGGGCAAGAGCGGCTGCCCAATCCCCGCCGAGGGCCTGAAGCCAGGGCCAGGCAGATCCTGCCTTGTTGAGCAGTATCTGCAGTAAGGGCTCTGTGTACCGAACACCTGCTGTGCGCCCTGCAGTCAGTCACGTATCCCAGAGGTGGGATTCAAACCCAGGTTGCCCAGCGCAGCGAAACAGCATTCTCCTTCTGCATCTGTGAAGGAAGCTTTGTCTTCTAAAAACCCTAGCCCTTCTGTTACCTTGTCCTCCGTCAGTCTGCTTCTGTCCCTGTGCCATAAGCAAGATGAATTTCTGTCCCAGGGTGGCCCTGCAGAGGATGAGAGATGGCCCTTGTGAGAGGAGCCCTGGGCACCCCAGGCATGGCTCCCCAGCTGATGATAGAACAGCTGAGACAGACCAGGCACGGTGGCTCACACCTGTAATTCCAGCACTTTGGGAGGCCGAGGTGGGCGGATCACTTGAGGTCAGGAGTTCGAGACCAGCCTGGCCAACATGGTGAAACCCTGTCTCTCCTAAAAATACAAAAATTAGCCAGGCATGGTGGCAGATACCTGTAATCTCAGCTACTCAGATGGCTGAGGCAGGAGAATCACTTGAACCCAGAAGGTGGAGGTTGCAGTGAGCTGAGATCGCGCCACTGCACTCTAGCCTGGACGAGAGAGCGAGACTCTGTCTCAAAAAAAAAAGAAAAAGAAAAGAACAGCTGGGATCAGGAAAAGAGGAAAAGTATGGTTTTCATAGTGGCAGAGTTTGCGAGGGGGTCTTTGGGAGGAAGGAAGGTTGGAACTTGTGGCTGGGGGATGGATCAGAGGGGAGGGGCTCCATCCTAGCTGGCAGGGGAGGGCTGTCCTGCTGACATCGGCCTCTAGAATGGGTATAAAGGATGACCGCCTGGGGCGGGGAGGAGAATGTTATACTTAGCGTTCAAATCTCATTCTTTTTTTTTTTTTTTTTTTTTTTTTTTTTTTTGAGACGGAGTCTCGCTCTGTCGCCCAGGCTGGAGTTCTCCAAACAGAGGCCGAAGGAAATATTTTCATGAGCCCAGGAGTTCGAGATGCAGTGAGCTTTACCTGGGTTACAAAGCAAGACTCCATCTCTAAAATAAATAAAAAAATAAAAAGTAATTAAAGAAATAATAAGACCTAGGAGAAATGACTCCTTCAATCTTCACATATTGTGATCATGCACCCTTACCCGTACAAATGATATATGCATAGTTATTTTTAGATACAAGCCAGACG